TGTTAATAAACAGTCTGTTACAACACACAATTAAGTTATGAGACTGAATTAGACAAGATGTAAACAAGTGAAAATTGGTAAATGTGTAGGTGAATCTTAATAATAAATAATTAGATGAATAAAACATCTATTAATAAGTGAAGGAATCGACACAAACTCTACGTGAAATACAACAAATAAGACATCATTACATTACAACAAACTGAATAGTTATTTCCATATGATACTCATAACATGTGACAAATGTCATGAGAGTTCAACGACGTAAACAACACTCCTCTTGACTCATTAACTCAATTATTTTCAACAGATTCATTGACACGTAATGAAAACCAAATAAATTGCAATTAGAAAATAATTTAACTTTAATTAACACTATTCAATTGTTATACAGAAGTACCAAATAATTATGTTATTTGAATGTAAATATTATTATTTTTGATAGTATTCTATTGAATCATTTATTTAGGAAAATGCAACATTCTCACTTATTACTTGTAAGGATATCGTTACTGACATTACCCTTTAGTCATTCAACGTCAAGTGAATTAACATCGACAATCTACCATGTTATCTATCACTTTCTGTTGACTGTTTTCTTATGGATATCGCTTGAATATGTATGCTGAAATCTTTCTGCTTCATTATCAGTTGTAATGTTTTATATAACCATTGTAATGTTATGGCTTATCTGTTGACTTGTTTTAATGAAGAGTTTACGTAATCAAATCTTTAAAATCAATTGCAAATAAATAAGCGAATCTGTTTAATAATTTACTATGTGAAACATTGTGTGTACAAGTGAGAAACAATTTTGTTGACTTTTTAGAGTCATTTTAATTTTCAGTTGATAAATAGATACCTTTTCATGAGCAAATTATTTGTAATTTACTTTCTTACTTGTGGCTGTTACTCCGAATGGAGCATAGGCGTCCGACCAGCATTTTCCAACCCACTCTGTCCTGGGCCTTATATTTATACTTACGTAATTCCTGACACTAACTATATATAGTTTGATAGACGTGAAGAAGCTTATTATTGAACCTTGAATTCCTATGATTGATAGACGGGAATTTAGACAGAAAATTTTATAAACGATCTTAGGTTTTTAAAGTCTAAAAACGAAATATTTAAGGACTAAAAATGACTTCTAAACACAACAGGAGTAAAACATTTAATGAGTAAAATGCTGATAGATATAACACACAATGTTCAGAATCTAGCTGAATGTAAATGAATGATACCATAAATTTAAATGTATCACTTCTGAATCGCATTTCATAGTTTATTTCATCATTTAAAGTGTTCAAGTTAAATGTCTGCACAATTACGGATGTTATTAAACTTTCTCTTATGATTTTGTTATAATGTAGCACTTCTTTCTCTAATCTTCTTACTAACTTATTCCCATTCTAAATAATATTATATTTTAAGTTTGATGACAGTAAAATCCATTGAAATACAATTTCTGATCTTCTTGATTTATGAGAGGAGTCAACAATACAACCTTGAGATTCAATTTTAAAAATTGCTCGCAAAACCTGATTTACTCCACCTGATTTACCAACATTCACAGTGTTATTAAATATAATGTCGTTAAGAATGGTGTATATTAAGAGTTATTATTTTTCTCATCTTAGAGTAAGTAACCTCTGTTGCTAGAGAAGATTCTTTTTCATATACATTTGTAGATTGATAATATTTTTGTAATTGGTAGCTGAATATTTTAACTTAAATCAATTTTGTAACCTCTATCTGATAATTCCCAAACAGTGTCCATGTCATAACTTGTGACCGCCAATTAGAGAGCAGTGACTTGTCGATAGGATCAATGACGCTTGAACCCATATGAACAGTCTAGGGTCCGATTTCTGCCTAGCCTAGCTAGTTAAGTCTATAACATTAATCCGAGCCTCTGCGATATGAATCATTATATTTCAAACATACTGAGTTTATATACCAATCAAACAGACCACAACGTACAGTAAAATATAAAATAACATTTGTACAATATTTGGCCAAATATGGCTGTGAATGTGGGAGGTAGTGATTAATAGACAGGGAATAATTCAAGAATGCATAGTCGTATAATAACAGTTCATAGGTTAAAATAAAGATTATGATAAGAGACATGAATATGAATAGTTTAGTTAATTAACAAGTATACGATAGAAATATATGTATAGTATTGGTCCACAAATGGATCGCAAAATTACCACTCATTATTCTTATCGGGGCATAACAGTCCAGCATAATTTTTGTATATTATTTGTGACTACTGGTAAATAACATTAAAAGTTCTTAAGTTAGTTTTTACATACTGATTGACATTAGCTGAAAGGAAAAACTGTAAAACTTCGACATGGTTTTGTGCCACTGACAATGACTTCTCACTTCAGATATTCTTTCTGAATAAATTGAACAATCATCATATATTTCTTTTTTCATCTACTTTCATATTCGTCAGCAAATTGTATTTATTCTACAAACAAGTGTAGCTCAAATGTCTATTTGATCTAAGTAAAGATCCAGGTCACTAAACTAAAACAACAGAAAAAAACGTTTCTGAGATGAATAAGTAGCAGTTGAAGTTGTCTCTGCTATCAAAGTTCTACCTGCTTCATAACTAAATCAATATTTCTTGATATGATATGAAAATGTATCAGGACAGAACTATTCATTCTACCATTATACTAGGTTTTATACTAATTAGACAGTTTATCAATAAGGCAGCTAATCTCTAATATGAAACCAATATTATGTCTAACCTAAGAGTACATTAGATTATTAACGTACGATCAAAAAAAATTATTAATCCATTGATTAGTCCACAAATATTTCTCACTTCACAAAAGAAGAAATACTTCGATTTTACTACTGTGCATTACTCTTTGAGATATTACAAATATAAATAATTATTTTTATTATTGCCAATCTACCCAATCCTCATTTTATTTGAAATTAACAAGTCAAATACTAGTACTGGTACTGATTATGTGTCACTGGCTCACTAAGAATTTTTTTTGCTACGTGACATATAGACCCTAGTTTTGTTCTGTAGTAGAATCATAGGTGCTCATTGAAAGGATATCCCATGCTCGGACAAGATAGTTTCCTAATCTTTTATAGTTTTCAGTGGTTGTCAAATCAAAGTCCAAAATGTAATGATACGAAATATTTTACAATAATTACAACTTTCTATACTAAAATAATATCATTATATTTATTTTTGTACCACAATAACTTAATTGCACACTATTCTACTTCTTTAATAGAGATTCTTTTTTTTATTTATTTTCTGTCTGGCTTTAAGTTTGTATGACCTTCTGACGAGAATGTTAAACTACGTGATTATACAAATGAGTGAACATATTTCTATACAGAATAACATAATAAAATAAGACAATATACTACGTTTATAGAATTAAGCTTAACTGAGATGAAATATAATTAACAAGAAGATTGAAGTAAATGATAGATTAGCATTTAGATGAGAGAAAACTTGATTTAAGCTAATATATGTAAATATTCTATATTTCCATAATAAAGTACAAGATTTTCTTGAAAACAATAACGCTAGTAACAGAATTGGTTATCTTGTACAATGTCATCAATTAATCAATCTTCTAAACTTTCACTTAAGTTGTATTGCGGTATACATATCGATGTAACTTCACAAATGTCTGTTATTCGATATTGTGATACAGATTTATTTTTCAGAAAGAAGTACGCCATTTGTCTGAAAGTCATCTACTTAAAAATTTATGTTAAATCACAGTTTACAGCTATTAACCGAGTTTATTTTATCTCTTGGTATTCATCAAATCTTCTTGGTTTCCTCTTTTCAATACAGTTTTATCAAAAATAGGCTTCTCATGACCATATTTGATTTCTCCTGCTTTTGAGGACAAAGTTTAGTATCCGAAGACTCTCATCCACCCGAAGTAAATAAGTAACCTAGTCCTATCTGTTGATAAAGCTGAGATAATTTTATCCTCTGAACGCTTTGAATATCAATACAAAATGTTTATCATATATTTAACCTCATCATATCAAACTGTTTCAGAACTCGTGGTTTCAGTACTTTATCCGTCTCATCTTTTGTTGGGATTCTTAAAAGCCTTAGCGAGTTAGTGGCTGACGAGAGTTCAGAATAGGTATAAGATGTCGACCTAGTTTTTTTATCTTACGCCACCTGTCATTCAGTCGATGCTCCCGCCTATATGTCATAGGGAAAGTATGATTTTGAAGTATGATTCCCGAAGAGAGAAATCATGAGTAGATTATTACTGTCTGATTATGAACACCGTTGCATTTTGAATGAATACTTCAGTCTCGAAATATTAAGAGGTAATTTTAAGCTTAAATTAATGAGTAAAGAAAGTAAATAAACTAATGAACCTTTGCCATATAGATAATTGAGACGTATATTCAGTGTATATAACTACCAAGTACATTGACGTCCCTTACTAGTGAGTACAATATTCAGTTCAAAATATGCTAGGACACATCAATGACTTTTGATTTAACGCATTTTCAAAAACGCAAACTTCCTAGTATGGGTCAGTGACAGAATCCAAACCTGTGGTCAGAGACCTTAGGTGGGATATCTTGAAATACTTCAAGGTAACACAGGCATTCTTTCTTTCCTTATTTTCAATTATTGTCAGTATGTTTCACTCCATAGCTCGCCAATTAGTCATTTTTCGTTTCTATCTTGATATGAACCTGAATACATATGTATCAGATCTTATCTTGTTAACGTCCACACTTATTTACCATAATACATATAAAAGGTGTAGCTCCTTCACACAGAAACTTTCATTTTCACGGTGCATTAAATTTGACACCTGATCTGATAGTTAAAGAACAAACGCATAACAACATATATTCAGTAACAACTCGACGACTTCTAATTTCCCACTTTTCCTGATCTAAACTTTGATAAATTATCATTCTATTTATTAATTAAAAATTTGAAAATTTGAAAACTTCTCAATGGCATAAAATAGTGAGATATATTTGGCCCATAAATACAAATGATTACATATTTATCATTTTTTTCCAAACTCAAAGTATGTTGCAATTTACAACAGGAGATCATTCTTTTCTCACTTTTGTTTACCATAGATATGTTCAATTAGCCGATCACAAATAAACGCACACACACAAGAAAATAAATAGTTAAACAAATTTATCACAATGTCCTAGAACGAAATACACTAAATCTGATTGTTTACATTCTGACTAAAATGTTTTTTTTAATATACGTGTACAGTAATCGGAATATTAAGAATAATGATTAAAAAATAATAGTAATATTAGTGAAAACTAAAAGATATAAGGGTTTTCTTTTTTCATGAAACATAAAAAAGTAAAAACAATAGCGAAGAATTAGAATATTAGCTTTCTTTTACAACTAAAAATTCGTTTATTTTGCTCTACAACTGCAAATTCAGAAAAATATTTGTATAATAATAGCAATAAAGAGTAATTCTTCATGTATTGCATATAATAGCTGGTACAGAAAAAGTTTTTTAAGGTATATAGTTTCATTGCCTTTTACATAACAAAGCCAAATAGAATTATATAATCTATAAAATACTGTGACTTTAATGTCATTGACTGACTAGAAATTCTCATGAAAAATTATATATATATATATATATATATATATATATATATATATGTATATATACTTTAATGATAGAAAACCAAATAACAGAAGTTATAGGAAGTTACAGAAAAATGCCGTGTGTAAAGAACTAAGTTTTTGAACTACTGTATGATGTGATCTAATAAGAAAAAAGTCGATTTATATTTGATCCTTCAATTTCATGATGATGTTTCCTTCAGCATTAAAATTATATATTTCAAAGTATAGTAAGATAATCATAGCCAAGAAACTAAATAAAGCGGGCCAGTTTCTGAATTATCGGAGAATTTTATCAAGTCAACAAAACAGATGAAAGAACTAAATATAAACAATAGTTTCTTGTGTGTGCAGTTTTTTAGTTTTGTCGTGAACATGACGCTGCTATGGCTGCCGCTCCTTTTCCACTTCCATCTTCAGATAAACGTAGACAGAACTATATTGAAATATATATAAAACAGTGATTATTATAAATGATATTTTGGAGGGACATAAATTAAAAATATTACAATTGATACTTCGTTTACGTTAATTTCATTGTTTTAAGCATATCAGCCTTCTAATATTTTTTTATGTACATGTACGTTAATTACTTCTAAGTGAAATGATAGAAACTATGAGACTTAAGTATTTTTTTCTCAGGCGAAATAATATTCACATAAATAGATTTGCACCTAATCGTAATCTCTTCAAAATAGAAGAAATTAGAGCAGTAAATTGGTAATTTATCCTTCTCCAGAGAATATTTCAATATTGTTATGAATTTTTTCAAGCAATGCAATATATAAAATACCTAGCAATAAAGTATGAGAAGTATTTTGAAATATAATAAAAACATTGAATGTTCATTTACTCGTGTATTCTTTGGCTTTAGCTTATCAACCATATCTGTCATTCGTTCACAAAACTTCGGATGGAATTTATATAAAGAGCCATCAACGCCAATAGTTACTTCTGAGCGGTTTATTCTCCGAAGAATGCAAGCAATACCTGAAAATAGATGAACGAGAATTCAGTTATTAAATGTTCAGTGTGTTGTAATATTTGTAGTATTCTTTTGAAAAATACGGCAATCTATGCATAACAGTTCATGCGATAAAAATCGATGGACCCACCTGCGCCTGCTAGATAAGCCGCCCGTTTAACGACCATTTCACAGGCATATCGTACTATGCGGTTATCTATCGGCTCAACAACAGGGACACGCAAGTCATCAGTAAGCATATAGTGAGTATTGTATAAAAGGTGAGCAGGATCTCTGAAACAAAATTTTTAGCAAAATAAGATTTTTATATAGAGACAACACGTGAAACGTGATATAAATGGAAAGAGAAATATAGTTTTAATTGTCAACACCGAGAAATAATTGTTCCCGAATTCATACTACAGTTCAACGGTCCAAAGGAAATAATTTACTATCATAGTTCGTTACGTACTTCATGTACCAAAAAGTATTAATCTTTTGACTAAGTGAAGGGTAGAAATGCAAGCTGCAAAAACGAAAGCATCAACATAATTTAATTCACTGGTGCAAAACCAACCTTACATGGTTAAGTTTCAGTTTTTTCTGTTTCGCTTTATTGGCCACATGACTTCGTTAATCTACATCAGTCGTAAATTAATCAGTAACTTTTGAATAATGACTGCTATATGTGGAAAGTAGACAACTGGTAATAGGAAATCACAGTTTGTAATGCTGAGTAACTTTGTGCTGTTATCACAAAATAGAGTTAAAAGATTATAGAAGTATACCGAGTTAGCCACAGGGTCTATACATGATCATCAAGTTTAAAAATCTATAAATCTTCATGTGGAAAATGAAAGCTGAAATCACAAGTCAATCTAAGCAAGACCACCATTGAAAACCTGGAAGCACTGGAGGGCCATTTTGTTCTAGTACAATCCCCAGAATTGATAAAAATAAAAGCACTGTATATTTCTGGTGTCATTCTTACTTATCATAATAATCAGCTAAGTGAAACCAAATATCATTTTGCGTTAAATTAAAAGTGGCAAAAATACATGCATTTTGTTATAAACATCATTTTAGTATGTAAAACTAAATCGATTAAAACATCAGCGTTTCAAATAAACCTTACCTTTCAACATCTGTTAAGTATCTAGTCAGCAGAGAATTGCGTACTTTCAAACGTTCAGGGAGTTCCCCACGAAAGAGAATTTTTTGTTCAACAAGGTAAACAAGGATGTGGCGAACTAACTCACCAAGGTACATCCCAGATACCATTTTCTCATATCTGAAGATAATACAAAACAGGAATAAATTATAAAATGATTTTGGATGTTTGAAAAACATACTTCTGCATGATATGTGTTGAATGGGAAAAACTGAAACTCTCGAGTCAAGGACTTGTTAATAATAAACACTGTTGCTATTTACTAATGTGTATGAAATAATTTGAGAAAAATGTTCTTACAAAGGAATAGTTCTAAACTTGGAAACAACCAGTTATAAAATCATACCCGGACCTAAATAACAATGTTTTAGATGCTTGCAAGAGCTTATGACAAAATATCAACAAAATAATTGTTGACTACAATAATTTTAAGTATCTATAAAATAAGACTAACAGTTGTTTTCCTGGGTGAAGACTGTCTATATCCATTGTTTTGTCAAACTGTGTTCTCCAACAGTCCAATTCCCCTTTCTCGCCGAATGCACCCCACTCTGTGTTTATAACGACTTCGGGTTCTTTCACTTCATTCATCAACTCGACTTTCGAAGAGTCCTCAATGTAAGCAACGTTTGTTCCCGTCCCTGTAAAACAGGAAGATTGGAAAAAAGTTGGATAAAAATACTTGGATAAAACCTTTGTCTGTCAGATACTAAATGCACTTGGTAAACCATCAAGCGTTACATATATTTATGTGTACAAGCATTTTCAAAATTTTATCTCGGCAATGAAATAAAACACTTACCAACTATCAATCCAACGGCACATTTTGAGTCCTCAAGAGCACACGACGCAAGTGTTCCAACTGTATCGTTTACAACTGCAACACACTTCACATTTAATCCCTGCAACAAATAGAAATTTAAACAGTTAATTACATAAACGTGATACTTCATCCAGAATAAACGACGTCCTACATCTTCCGATGCCAATAATGATTATAATGAACCAAAATTTTAAAACAAAAAATACATCTAACTTAAAAACATTGAAAAATGTTAACTATTTGCAAACAAAGTTTTCTGGTCGTACACCCATTAATGAAACAGTTTTTGAGATAGAAAATTACTGACTCTGTAATTTATTTTATCTCAGTCCTAATTTTACTACCCAGAGACCATAACTGTTGAAACTCTTGTACACTCATTCTTAATTCACTTCATATGCTGATTTTATAATGAAAAAGACTGTAAACACATTCGCATGAATGAGCTAACACCTGGGATGTTAACTTTTAATCAGACTCAAATAAATAAACTGTGAGAAGCCTTTACACTAAGACGAAAATATTGTGGTCACAAAGCAACCCAGAATAACCTAGAGTTAAGTACGTTAGTCGTTGGGAAGGAACGATAAGTTCCTTTGAATGCCAAATATATAATGTCAGTATTGATATGGCACCACAACTAACATAGGCTCATTTGTTGAAGCGTACTCATGCAATCAAAATCAAGTCACTTTTACAATTTCTCAATAAAATAGCAGTATCTTACAGCAAGTAACTACTGTTTTAATAAAATCAACCCTGTAAAAGCACGATTTAGCAACTGCACTCACTCTTTTATCTAGCTCATTTTGCAGCAATTCAGCAACATTATGACCTTCTACCCCATCTGCGGAGAAACCTTTTGTCCATCGCACCAAAGTAGCATGAGTGAGGCCTTTCTGGACACATGGAAAAGAGAACGTGAATCCGAGGTCGAACTTTTTGTCCTTCATTCCGTTGTTTTCCAGAAAGTCAGCCAGTGTCTCAGCAATATATTTAAAGAGCTACGTAAGAAAGATAATAATAAGCAATTTATCAAACTGTTTCTAGAAATATACATCTTTTTTATTAAGTGATCCTAACTAATATAAAACAACCTAGCTGTGCAACTTATTTTTCATTGTATACGCAAAAAAAGTCAACACAGAATGTTTGGAATAGAATCTAAAAGAATGCAAATTATATTTTAAGAATATGATTGTAATGAGTCACTTCAGGCTATATAGCTTTCTACAACAATGACAGCTCTGTCCAATATATATTAGTTCCAAGCTCTACGTTTATTATAGCTGGCTAATGAGATGATTTTAAAAGACTCAGTGAAAATCCAATGCAAGTTTAAAATAGGGTTTGAACACATTTCATGCTTTTTATGAATTTCACAAACATTCTCAGTCCGTAGGTCCTCCACCTCTAGAAAATAGCTTTGATTAAGCAATGGAAACCAGAAACACGTTTAGACTAAATTATCCATAATCTAGCCTAAGAGAAGTAATACGATTTGCTAACCTGATACAAATGCGTCCAATCACCTACGAGAAAGTATTGTGTAACTGTTTATGTGTCTGAAAAGCCACCTTAAACAAAATTGTCTGAGAGTTACTAGAACTTCAGGAGTTTAGATTCAGGGCAAAGTGCATTTAACTTAGTTTAAATAACGTATTTTATGGTAAAAATTGCATTTGGTATGGTTATTAAATCACAATTCATAAATAAAATGCAGATATTTTCAAAATTTAAAGAATTAGTATTTCACTACATAGAAGTAGCAAATATTGCCCAGGAAATTCACCCACAACCCTTCATATGAAGGAATACCAAAGACATGTTAGTCCGTTGCCTTCAAACCAGGCTATCAAACAAAGTCAGATATCCCGAGAGTCGAATAAATCTTGGTTGAATTGGATAGAGTAATCTCTCGTGGACCAATGAGTTTAGTCTTAAACCGAAGGCGATTTCCAAAGTTATGCCATATTTAACACTTGAATAAACTAGCTAGTTTACTTGATAAGAAGAAATCAAGACTAAAACTGGTTCATCTTATGGATTTAAAAGGAAATAGGATAAAAAAAAATTAGCCGATGAAAAATAGGAACAAAAATAAGATATTGGTCAAGTTACAAAAAATGAGCTTGACATTACACCTAACCTCCGTTCCAGAACCCGACATTTTTTCTGCAGGAATACAGTAAGTTCTCTCTTGGATTGTTGGAGATTTTCCTTTGCCTTCAAGAGTTACTGAAAGCACTCGATAGTTTGTTCCACCAAGATCTAAAGCTAAGAAACTTCCAGTTTCTACGAAGATATAAAACATTTAATGTTAAAATACCTGTCCCATTTGGTGTTCTTGTAACATAAGATGGAAACATTTTAATAGATGATTTTTCATTTGTACTCTTCTGTAAACCTAGACGCATTGACTCTCCCATCCTATCACAAATCTCCTCATAGTCAACCACAGAAAGATCAAGTGGCTTGAGTATCTCGACCACCTTCTCAAAAAGTTGCTTGTCTGAGAACACCATTTCGTTTCGCAATATGTCGCGAACTACAGCTTAAACCCTTTAAATATTACCCTTCACTCCATGAGTGTCGTTTATACATATAAACAAACCTCCAGTAAAAACAGCCTTCATCAACAAATAAGAGAGTAAATAATATCATATCCTAGAAAAATTAGTTCAAAGCTCTACCGTTGCATTGTTTTTGCTCGGTTTCATTAGAAAGATTGAGTAGACCTTTCTTCAAGTTACTTAGATTTAACCATTCGTGTAAATATTAATGTTCACTGGTATTTATTTGGATAGTCATCATTATTCTCAAAAGAACTGCCAGGTGACCTAAATTTTCTCAAACGTCTTCCTATAAATCTTCACTTAGACAGCATAACAATTGCTAGTATTTCGTAAGGTATGATATGTTAACATGACATCACTTTATTTAACCGAAACTATTGCTCATCTACCGAACGTTGTTGCCTATCGATTAACAGTCCTAACTTGAAACCCCATGATCATTTGAGCATCATTTTGTAACGACTTGAAAACTATTATTATAATCATTATTGTTATTCAAAAACAGCCTATTGGTGCATAAGTGTTGCAAAGAACTCATCTTCAGTTTCTTCAGAAATCTGGTTATACACATGTTTCAGTAATTTTTGCACCATATTCTCCATATTTAAACAGGTTCTGTAGGACTTAGAAGAATATTGAGTTGAATTTGCAAAAAGTAGAAAAAAATTAGGAAAAACTGAGGTAAATATCTTAATAAAGTTAGGAAACATGATAGCTGGGGACGAGATCACACTCACACAAAAAGTCAAGACTATTAAACAATATATCATGGTAATAATATGATGCGATAGCTTTGATAAATTCCATTTCACTTTTCAGGCACGGTAGCGTTTATACAACAAAGAATACCAGCTGAGGGTCCCTTAGTTCCACCGTTAAAAAGATGAATATTGACATATTATCCAATCATAGGTCCGATAATCAGTACATTACGTAGGTTCCTTTTTAATTCTGTCCTGATGACCATAAAAATCCAGAATTTCACACTTTTAGCTAGTTGTCTGAACTTAGTTCCTAGATTCAGTTTTAGTGGTAACTACTAGAAATATACAGAATGATACGTTGCGAAAAGAAAATTGTTTCGGAATGGCAAGAAGATTTAACCAACCAACAGAAAGCTTATATCTTCAAAGCTGAATAAACATCTCCTCCACGTTTATGATCACATGATCATTCTGTTAATAAATTCAACTGGGTCTAGTTCTCTATTTACATGATAGAACAGTAAGATTAAAATCAAGAACTAGGATATGTATTTAAGAGTTCACATTTTAAATTATGTCAGTTTTTTGTGAACTCAGAAATGAAGGAGCTTGAAGATATGTTTGAAATGTCGATATGTCGAGCAAAGTTTGGTCTAGGCTGACCAATAGTTGAAAGGGATGCGTAGCACGGCGTGCCCATGCATGGTCTGGTGTGATTGCGTGATTGATTACATCCAGTTAGATGAGTCCAGTAAAAGTAATCCGGTCAGCATCACATCTTGAAGACATACAAAGCCATTGATCTTGGGGACATATTAACCGCCACAGATCACGTCCCCTCTAGCGAGTCAGTGATGACCCTGGGGTGTAGACAATCGGAAGTTCAAAACTAACGAACTTGATGATGGTTAAAACTCTTCCGATAGCATGCTATGATCAGCAGCATCTAGTCGTCTTTCATGAATACAAGGGTCCATCTGGTGCATAATAGCAGTGAAAAACAAGTGCAGTGAAAATTTCGGTTCTTCGTGATATTCGACCTCTTTTCATTTTTTCTAGCCGTCCTGGAAGAGAAAAAAGGTTGCTAACTGCACATCGAAGTGCGATCATACGTGCATCAGGCGAAAAAGGTGAAATATTGCGTACACGCGTACTGATAACATGCGATAACGTAGATGCAATTTTCTCATGATGATAATTTTTACTTTTTCAGGAAAAAATTATATTTGTACAAATACATATGGGTATATTAGCAAACAACTCCACCCGGAGTCCCTCCGGGGGCTACTGCCGGTCACAAGCCCAAATAAAGGAGGAGGGTTGGGCATGGGGTTAGCGACCCCATCCCGTAGAAAACTAACTCGCTAAAAAACGCTAACCAGAAAAAATAATTCAAACCATTTTAACTCTCCCCTGGGAGTTAGAAGGTCTTCATTTAGAAGAACTGTGATGTCTCATGTTGAAAGCCTAGTTCCTTGGGAAGTTACGAGGCTGATGCTCCTTCTGACAACCAGAGCAACCACTTATTTAGGTACATGGAATACTCGTACAGTGTCGAAAGCCGGAAAAGTCATCCAAATTGCTGCAGAAGTGAAAAGGTGCAACCTAGAGGTGCTTGGAGTCAGTGATACACATTGGACGCAAGTTGGACAACAATGACTAACTTCAGGAAAACTGCTGTTATACTCCGGCCATAAAGAAGAAAACGCTCCATATACACAAGGAGTTGCATTGATGCTGTCCAAACAAGCACAAAATGCACATATAGGATGGGAATCTCATGGACCAAGGATCATCAAAGCCTCCTTCAAAACAAAGAAAGAGGACATTAAAATGAACGTCGTCCAATGTCATGCGCCTACCAACGACTACAATGAAGACGCTAAAGATCAATTCTACAATAGGCTGCAGTCAATCATCGAGAAGTGCTCAACAAAGGAGGTGACCATTCTGGTGGGAGACCTAAATCGCAAGGTTGGGATGGACGACACTGGATATGAAGACATCATGGGACGACACGGACTGGGAGAAAGAAACGAAAATGGTGAGCGATTTGCAAACCTATGTGCCTTCAATAAACTGGTCATAGGCGGCACCATATTCCCACATAAACGCATACACAAAACCACATGAACTTCACCGGATCACTCTACACAGAACCAAATCGACCATATTTGCATCAAGAAAACGTTCAGGAGGACGACGGAGGACGTGAGAACCAAGAGAGTAGCTGATATAGCATCAGATCATCACTTGCTGGTCGCCAAGATTAAGTTGAAACTCAAGAAGCACTGGACAATGGGACGGACAATATCACTCAATGGAGAAGGAACTACTATGGAGAGCAAGTGGAAGGGGATCAAAGAAGCAATCACTTCAACATGTCATGAGGTTCTGAGCCAAAAGAAGCACCATCACAAGGAATGGATCACTGTTGATACACTGGATAAGATTCAAGAAAGGAGGAACAAGAAAGCAGCAATCAGTACCAGCCAAACAAGAGCAGAAAAGCCAAGATACAAGCTGACTACACAGAAGCGAACGAGCAAGTGAAGAGGAGCATCAGAACTGACGAACGTAAATATGCGGAAGACCTAACAATGACAGCGAAATAGGTTGCAAATGAGAGGGAAACATGAGAAAATTGTATGATGCAACAAAGAAGCTCGCTGGAAATTATCGTAAACCAGAACGACCAGTGAAAAATAGGGAAGGCAAAGTAATCACCAACATTGAAGAACAGCGAAATAGGTGGGTGGAACACTTTAAGGGACTCTTGAATCGACGAGCCCCACTGAACCCACACAACATCGAAGCGTCACCCACGGCCCTCCCAATCGATGTTGGCGCACCAACAATTGAAGAGACAAGCATGGCCGTCAGGCAAATCAAGAGTGCCAAAGCAGCAGGACCAGACAACATTCCAGCTGAGGCACTGGAAGCAGACGTAGAAGTAACTACAAGCATGATTGATGAACATGGTGGATCCGATGCAGATGTGCAGGCGCGGATTGACAAAGCAAGAGCAGCATATTTACAACTGAAGAATATTTGGAACTCAAAACAACTGTCAACCAACACTAAGGTCAGGATTTTCAATACAAATGTCAAGACAGTTCTACTCTATGGGATGGAAATCTGCGGAAATACGAAAGCCATCATCCAGAAGATACAAGCGTTTATTAAAAGTTGTCTACGCGAAATTCTTCGGATCCGTTGACCGAACACTATTAGCAACAACATACTATGGGATAGAACAAACCAGATTCCAGCGGAGGAAGAAATCAGGAAGAAGCGCTGGAAGTGAATACTACACACATTGAGGAAAGCACCCAACTGCGTCACAAGGCAAGCCCTCACATGGAATCGTCAAGGCCAAAGGAGGAGAGGAAGATCAATGAACACATTACGCCGAAAAAAAACAGACGTAAGTAAGTATATTAGAAAACAAATTTTGTTTCTGATTTATTTTTTTGGTAATATGATACGAAAAATAACAACGAGGTGGAGCAAATATTATGTTGTGTCTTACCTACAGTAGTCGTTCAAGTCTTCCGGAAACTTTACCCTTCTTCCAAAATGCTTTGTTCTTGGCTGGCTACCAAACACATCTGAAGTTTCGTCATGGCAATCGACTATCGAGTGGGGTATCCCTATTGTGTGGCTCGTGTCGTTCGACTGTAACGGAGGAAGGTCGACATTATCAGGGTTTCTTAAATACGCGGCTTAGAGACGAGCGATGCTGATACCATCATCAGCCCCATCTTTATCGATGATAAAGTACTTAGATTAACGATGAAAGGCTTTGTAGGGTCCTTCGTATACCATGTCGAGAGGTCGTCGATATAAGTTGTGACCTACAAAGACGTGTGTACTATATCGTAAGGCAGGTTAAACGAAAACATCAGTTGACTGCGGTCAAGTGGAAACAGGTTTAACTGGACGCTTAACGTTTGTAAGCCTGTTCTTTTAAGAGTGTGGATCCATATTCATTGAAAAAGGTGAGGGATACACACAGTGTAGTTCCATAAGCAAGTTGTGCTGCAATGTATCGAACGTCAGCTTTCACGGCATTACGAACACCAAGTGAAACGAGTGGAAAGGCGTCAATCAACTGTGAAACGTTTGCAGCTGGTAGTGAATCTGTAGTGGCATTAGACCATAACCACACAATCCTCAAAGCTGAATACGAGATTACTCGGAAAATAGATATTCAATATTTAACACGGAGAAATACCTAACGATGGAAAAGGCGGGAACAATGGATTGAATTGACTGGAGTTGATCGGATGGCATGACTCGGTCATGCAGGCGTGGTCCCTCTGAATGT